AGCTTATTTTTAAGCATTGAGTTGTAAAAATTGACTACCTCTATATTCACACATTTGACAGTGTTTTAATCAAGACTGCGACAAGACCAGACACAAGTTACAAGGTGAACAGGGACATAGGAATGCTTTTATGGCATGTCATTTGAATAATTTGTAACCGGAATAAAGAGTAGAGGTCTTGAGATGGTCTTGTGGGGTCTTTCGATAATCTTGAGCTGTTTTGAGTCTAACACTGCTTGACACAAGCAAGAGCATGTGCTTACACAGTAACTCTGTTCAAGTCGAATTATGAAAGTTGGTCTTGTAGATGTACAATTGTAAGAAAGAAATGACTAAATTCACTGGTCTTTCGCATCTTATGTAAAAAAAAATGTATATTGACACTGGCTAAATTTCCAAGTTTAACATGTGCGATCTTCATGAAATGGAGTGGGCAAAAGCTTTAATTTTGCAATGATCTAAAAATTACTGGATGGTAGCCTGCCTTTACACATTGGTAGTGAACCTGTTTTGTTGGGATCTAGGAAGTAAACCAATTCCAAGCAATTGTTGATTTCTTTTTCCCAGATCCCTCTTGCGTGAATCTCGTCAAGTCAACAGCTTTGGGAAGCCCAGAAGACGGCTTCATTCAGGCGGTGGATCCAACATTTATTCAGCTGGCCAAGCAGCTGTTCCATTTCCTTACCGATGCTCTGGCTGCAACCATGGTAGGTCTATCTTGCTCGCCACACAGGCGAGCACCTTCGCTCGCAGTACATACTTTGCAGTCTTCTCTTCCTCCTTGAGCTAATCAACTCCAACTCTGTTTTTCTCCTGAAACCAACCTGTCACAGTTTGAAATAACACGGGTTTCTTCTTCCCTTGTGGCTGAGCTGTCATCAAGTGGTCACAAACCAATCACAGTTCACCACGAGTCATTGCATTTCTTCCTTTCTCCGTCATCTTTTCACACTGATTGTGATTTATGACATACGTTTCACCTGGCCTGCATTAGGTGATATCATTTAACAGTTGTAGTCTACTCAGAATTCACTTTACTCAATGTCTATTTGTACATTTCATTTCAAAAGTTAACACAGTCCCATCACGATACAACACTCCACCCACAGTGCCGACATCTTCAGAAAGTTAAAATAATTTTTCATGTAGCTGATTAGAGCTTGAAGATGTCTTCGAAACCATGGTAAATTGCAGCATCTTGTTTCCAGCATCTTCTTGTGTGTGTCGTTGATCAGAAAACAATTCTCTGAATACTCAGATCCTTTCTGCTGATGAATAAAAGGGTAGCAGCTAGAAGGCAGAGATGTATGAGTTGGTTTGGTTGATTCCCAGTCAAAGTTTTCTTGGTGTTTGTATGACTGATAGGGTTTTGTTATTGGGCACATTTTGTGAGTCGGTCTATATTTACTTAAATAATGGATAAAAATAATTGCGTTTTCCCCCTTCTTTCACCCTCTTCAAGGAGAGGAAACTGGGCCAGCGCAAGCAGTGGGAGAGCATCCTGTGGTCATCGCGCGACACGCTGCGTCTGCAACTGCACCGCCTCCTGGTTCACATGATGGCGCCCTGGCAGTCCACGCCCATCAGGGTCTACATGCTGCAGATTGCTTGCATCCCCAGGGCCAACCACATACTCCAGACAGTGCTCAACTCTAACCTGCAGGTAGGCTGGGAGGGCTGCTGCCGCAGAGAGGGAAAAGAAGGGAATTGGGAGTTGAGGCATTCGGATAGATAGGCTGGATAGACAGAGGAGTGAATGCTGGACTATAAAGGGTGCAGATGATGCAGTTTTCTTAGACACAATTTTGTGCAACTTTATACTTTTCTTCAGTATGTGAAAACAATTCGACATCCTTTTGGGATTTAGTGTAATAAAAAGTGTTCAAAAAAAGGTTTAAAATTGGCCATGCTTTCCTGGACATACTTTCCTGACTTTCCTGTTGCTGTGATGTCATCCAGGGTAGACATTGGTCAGTTAGGAGGTGTTTCTGTTCAAATTGTAAAACTCAAAAGTTGCTCATTGTCAAGATTTCTGAAAAAGGATTGCTGTATGGCTTATTGCCACGTAGTCAAACAAGAATGAATTACATAAAAAAGAAATTTGGATCAGTTAAAGTGAAAATTCCAGTAGCGTTTGTGCACAATTTAATGCAACATTGAGGCTACCTTGCTGGAGTGACATCACAGTTTTGCTGATAAATATGGAAATTCACATGAACGTAACATCAGGGACCAAAATACCTTTTAAAACAGCACAACAAATATAAAGCATTAGGCTAAGTTAAGCGTAAGGGAACCTTTTCAAGGATCGCATTTGAAAAACTGCATTGCTTGGACCCATGACATCACCAGGTAGGTATTGTTATCATACGCTTTGGAGACTTGCAAAGTTGCTTTAGGATGGAACTAAATGAAGTATTTTTCCCCTTTTTTGAACCTGAGCAATGCCTGTGGAAGTTTTAGCTGTAACCCTTGTCCTGAATTCTAGACCTTAATGAACCAAGCATTATTTTAATTTTTTTTGGTTAACTTTAGCAACACCTGGGTAAGTTTGAGCTGTTCCTGTTCGACCTCCTGCGGAACCACTCGCAGCTGACGGAGGCCAACCTGGTGCTGTGCCAACAGCTGATGGACCTGCTGGAGATATGCGGCTTCCATCCGCTGTACGAGGAAGACATGGACGTGACCACGCAGGACAGGGTCAAGATCGTGAGTAGCGTGGCTTGTAGTTTCCTCACTCGTGCGCTGTATGGGTTTTCTGTAAGCTGGACTAATGTGTACAAGCGTAGCTTTCAACTTGTCTCCATCTTTTTTAGGAAACATGTCTTTTCATGAATGATTACAATAAAGGGATGTGCATTATGAAAGTTTTTTTAATCAGAAAGAGGCAGGGGGCTCTCTACACTGTACATTTCTTTTTGTTCTTGTTGGTAAGTTTTTTTAAATTCTTATTATTTCTTTATTTAGGATTTTTCAGACCTCCCAACCCTCCCGATTTCGGCAGAAAATTTTCGCTTTTTCACTTGGTTTCCGCCATTCAGATTTTGCTGCTAAAATTTCTGCCAAATTGCAATTTTGACACTGGAAACTGTCCATGTAATCTTGTGCTTGTACCGTAATATGACTTATCCGAACAGTCAAAGCAGTGCACGTTATGTGCGCCACATCCGTGGCAGCGCCTTCTTTTGATGCCTACCAGCCTCGAGATGAATGTGATCATGGATGTAATAGCGAAATTGTGGACGAAAACACCCTCTATTGACAAGCTACATCTTAATTTGTGTGCGTCGCGCAGTGCCCGGTTTCGCTAGGAACCCCATATAAGAAAATTTTGGGTCCAAGACTAAACACTGCTGTGAAATTGACCACAATCATGCCAAGTGTGCAAGCACCATGCGGTGAATTTTGTGCTGAATTTTCGCGCTGAACTTGCTCTTAATTTTGTGGTGAATTAACTCATTTAGGAGAATGAAAATTATTGCGGACCATTTCCAATGATATAAACTCTTGTGGAAATCAAACTTTTATGGAATCAGTGAGTATGTGCTTTACATTATCACAGACGACAATTCGACTCTTGTACAATGCAGCACTGAATGCTGAATGCTTGATGGCCAATGTTGGGAGGTCTGTTTTTTTATGCTGATGTCTTGCAGACATTTTAATTACGGTTCCATGAAATCAGACATACCAATCCCATGAAATGCCCTTTTTTTTCTGGCACGTATTAAGCCCAAAGTGTTTATTCTCCCGTTGACATGGCCAAGTGCACAGTCTAACCCATTTGAGAGCAGGACCTCAGATGGAACTTAAACCTCACAGATATATTCGCAGTGGAGGTATTTATATGCACAGGAAATTTAAAATGGATTGGCCGTGGGACCACTGGGATATTGGGAAGGGTGGCAGAGTCCACCCACTCAGCTGTGAGAAGGTCCAAAAACGTGCCCTTTAAAGTGTGGAATGCCAGTCATTGAGGGAAGACAGGTGAACATGGGGGTCGCGTGTCTTCTCCCCAGCCTTGCGCTCGTCCATTTGAAGGCTGCGCCTCTGTAATCTAACGCAACTTTTCTTGCCGCAACACAGGAACTTGAGAAGATGATAACCGAGGAGCAGTCATCGCAGGAGGCACACATCAAACAGCGGTTGGATGGTGCTGTCAGTGCGTGGTCCAAGCTCGACCCATTTGCCAAAGAGGTTGCCAACTCGGCCATGGAGGTCACACAGGTCAGTCAGATTCTTGAAGAAAAGGTGAACGAAATGTGAAGTTGTCACACTGATAAAGCAACAACCTCATTGAAGTGTTGAAGTGCACCGGGAACTTTTTCAATCAGGCTCCAGCACCCACTTGTGCACAGGCCAAGGCCATACATTCAAACAGAAAATTGGTTGGGCCTGCTCTGTGTGTCGGGGGCCAAATATGCATGGAACTGCATGCATGCGCGGTAAGTTCCCAGCAGAGGACCGTTGTTGCCTTATGGAAACACATTCTCTTGTTTCCACTTGAAGTGGATTGCAAACCCCACATATTATACTCCCAGAGGTTGAATCTGAATGATTACTGAAAGCATTGAAGAATTGTTGCTGCTTTGGCAACAACCAAGTCTTGGTGGTTTGGGGCTCTCTGTCTGGAATTTCAGCAAGCATCCCTACCCCAATACCAGTTCCTGCCAGACTTAGTAGCTACTTTTGACCAACTCCCAAGCAAGTCCTCTTCCTCAGTGCCATCACTGGAAAATCTCTTGTCCAGTCGGACAAGACTGGCTAGAGCTGTCATTGAATTTCACCTTTATGAATGATTGTTGTGCTCAGTTGGTGACTGCCTACCAGAATGGCCAGCGGATACGCTTCCTGGAGTTCTTGAGGAGCACCATCGCCAGCTCCCTCGATGTCAGGTCAGCTTGGCAGGACCTGATCCAGAGCCTGACTCATGAAAGGTAGCAATCAGTATTTCATGGTCATTCATTCAGTTACCATTTTCTTGTGGGTTTTTTGGGTTAACCCCTAATTCGCTCTGGGAGACGGGGAGAGGCGCGGCTTTGTGTGATGATAAGTGCATGCCACATACACAGCCTATTCACCATGCAGCAGCTGATTCAATGGGGCCTGCTGCTGGACAAAGCCCCCCATTCAGGGCATACCACAGCCCAGCAGTCACGGTCAAAATAATCCTGGTGTGAAAGGGTTAAGCTGTAAATGAATTCAGCCACGGTCTCTAAACCACAGAGGTTGGGGCTTGTATTAAATATCGTATCTAAACACAAATTGGTACATGATGTGTTGCCGTAAAACTTGTGCAGATTCTAGTTTCAGATACCAAATTGAAATGAGTGATTCTGTTTAATTTGCTAAGTCTAAAATTTTGAAGACGGTGCTGTGTGCCACTATTTCTCCCCTTGGCTTCATCATTATGTCAACTTAGTGTTGGTGCATGCTGAGAGCGGGAAAGGTTGAAGTGTTGCTGATTTTGGTGAGTCCGTCTCTTGTCACATAACAATGCCCCTGTTCCTGTCCTTCGATCCAACAGAGCTGTCTGGTATGATCCCCAGACCTACCCCTCCTCCTGGCAGCTGGACCCCACCGAGGGGCCAGGCCGAGTCCGTCGCCGCCTCCAGCGTTGTCACCTGGGCATCCCCAACAAGTTCCTCCTCCCCCAGTGGCAGGAGAGGCACCCGCCGCAGTCCACCAAGCCCCTGGACTATCTCTTCGAGGACAGCGTGCAGTCATCCAACTCCTCAGAGTTCAAGAGGAGACTACAGAAGAACGAAAAGATAAGGTACAGAGGAAGAATTTGTTGTGGAGTTCAGTACATCCAATTGTTCAATAGGTTTGAAGGGTGAAGTAAGCAGCTGGTTTGGTATTTCACGTGTAACCGCTCACCGTAACGTGTAATAATTGTAACATCATAACAAGCCTGTGGCCTTGCTTGTGCAAAATCATTGTAGTGACCAGTAAAACATATGAAAGGTTATGCTGCGTTAAGTTTGACATTCTAAAAACTTGCACCATTTTGTGACACTTTTTTTTGACCTCCAGTTTTTGTGCAAATGATATTCCAGATTCGTATTTGATTTGGTTATTTTCTTCATTGACCTGTGCAGTTTTGTCTCCAATATTTATCAAAGCCTAATTTGCAAGTACCAATGAAAGCATGTGTAGTTGGAATTTGGAACTGCCTTATGGAATATTGAAACAGGATGAACATTGCCGACCCACGTCGGAAATCTTTTTTCCCCTCCAGTAATGCTTTCTTCTGCAAGTTGGTGACTCCTGCATCGGTAAACACGGGTGATCTCTTGCAAGGTAACAAAATACTCTTGTTTTGACTCCGCCATGATGGTTTCTCCCTTCTAACCCATTTCAAATTTTGAAATGCACACAACCTCTGGACAAGCACTTTTTTCCTTGCCTTTTTCTGCCACCTGAAAGAGTGTTTGCACCCACCCTGATACCCTACCCCCCCCCAGAAATTTACCCTAGTTATGCTACTGGTCTTAGACTTAATTATTTTTTTAGGATGGGCATTTGAGTGTCTAACAAGTATTTAGAAGGCGGCCAAAGCTTTTGAAAAGTTTATTTTTACCACCTCATCGCTGAGGTACATGATCGTGGTTTTGTAAGTTTTTGTTTCACCAGTAAGCATTAAGGTTACAAATGCCAGCAAAGTCACCAACTAAATCCCAAGTTGAAAAAGATCAGAGATGGCAAAGTAATATTGAGAGTAATAGAGGTATGAAAGTGTTTTGCCTCTGTTACCTTTATCTGTACCATAAAAAGTTGAAAAATTGGAGTCCACATGTCACACATGCTGTTTTCTATTAACAGGTGTCAACAGCATGTATTTTGTCAGTGAGGAAATGCCTGATAGCAGCCACGCCCAGGTAAGCACCAATCACTGAGCTGCTTCACAATACTTGAAGCTGATTGGCCAGTAGTTTCTAAATTTAAAAACCACTTTGTTGAAGCTGTGACTCCTTGCTTGTAATGTATTTGTTGATACTTTAATGCTGCTTCAAAGCAACCATGTCGTTCTTACTTAATATTGAGATATGTCATAGAGCATACAGATGGTGATTTCTTGTCAAAGAAGAGGAGGGGACCTTGTAATGGACCTTATTCTCGGGGAAGCCATTTTGATCTTGTTCCCTGAATCTTTCATATTCAATGTAATCTGTATTTGGGTGGTGCCAGAATATTTTGGGTTCCAAGCCTCACTTTCAGTGTTTTTAAATGTGGCTTAAAACATTTAGATGTAAGTTAATACAAATTTTAAGCTACTCTTAATGTAAACTGGCCCGAATTTGTAATGAACTTTTTTTTCGTTGCTGCTATTTTTGCTTTCTGATTCCCGAAATGAAAAATTAATTTCCCTCTCAATTCAAGATGGCTGACACATGAATACAGTCAGTTGTGTTTTCCACTTTCAATTTACATGTACATGGTCTTTTGATGCTCTATGGAACAATGGGTGGAGTGGAACATGACAGTGGCTTTTAGTGCAATGGGGAATTTAACAGGATTCAGGAAGGTTCATTTATTTATGTCATCTTTAATGAGGGTAAGCTCTGGTCAGTGCACAGCACTGCTTTCCATTGAGGCCCTCAGATTTATAAGGTGGGTCGAAGTCTTACAAGGGTGCCTCAAGCAGCAGCCTAACGGCCCACATCTGTAGAGAAGAGACAGTGAGAAGCAGTTACAGTTATAGAGGTGGGAGGTAAACCTCATTAGAATATTCTGGGTAAAACCCACAGAGTCAGGTAGGGACTGAAAACCCAATCCACGTATGGACTGAGCCGTGAATCGAACCCGGGCCGCAGAGGTGAAAGTAGAGGAACGAACCACTACGCCACACTTCCTTTGAACCCTTTTCACCCAAGATTGTTTAAAACCCGTCCAGATGATTGTCAGCTGTGCAGGATTGAGGAAGGTAGTTCCAAGCCATTTGAAATTTAAGCAGGTCTTGATGGTCATGAAAAGTTGAAGTACATAAAATGGGTTATTGGGTTCCGACATGGTGGAGGATTGTAAAGGTTTCAAGGTTGTTTTCAGAATTGCTGTCCTCCCTTTGTCAGGTCAACCCCTTTGACCGTGACATGATGACCATCTCCTGGCTCTATGTGGACATCAAGGAGCTGCACCTGCGCTGGTACCAGCTCCGAGACAACGCCCTGGAGATTTTCCTGGTCAACGGGCAGACGTTGCTGCTGGCATTTGAGAACACGAGGGTAAGACATGGGTTGGGGCGACAGGAGGGTCGGCCTGGGAAACACTTATGCAAACAAGCACTGCTGAGAGAACTGGCTTCCGAGATGATCTCAGTGTTGAACAAAGATTTATAACTGGG